ATGTGGAGTATGAAATTAAATTAGGGCTGGGGATACAGCTCTATAGGCACAGAGCCTGCCTGGAAAACATGAGGTCATGAGTTTGATTCTCAGTACAAAAAATTAATTTAGTATCTGCTTTTCTGTACCCATATTCATGTAAAGTCTACTGCATATACAGATATTTAACCCCAATCCTAAATGTAACATAAAAGAAGATTGAAATATAGCATAAGGACTCAATAATTTGGAATGAGCAAGAATTTAAAACCATTCATTTCACAAGTATTTTTGAGCACCTATCTTATGTCATGAACTTTGCTTAAACCATGTGATCTGATTCTGAGCAGAAGAGATCTAAATAAAACTCATACTGGCAAACTAAATGAATACTGTACTTACCCTTCTGTGCTTAATATTTTAACATGTGAAAATAAACTTTTAACATTGCTTTACATGTCACATTTCAAGAAATGAAACATAGTCACTACGTTTTTTTTTTTTTTTTTTAATTAGTGCTGTTAAGTGCTTAAAAAAATAACTGACGCTGTCTTATAAGTAAAGATTAGTGGGCCAGTCTGTGGAAGGGCTTAGACTGTCACTAACATTTAGGATCACACAGGCAGGTTATTTGTTCTGTTAGAAATAAGAGCACTAACATGATTGAAATATTAAAAGAAATGCTTACATGAGGACGAATGCATGCAGAGGCATGGCTAGAGCGTAAGATACATGAAACAGGGCACTCATTCAAGATTATTTAGATCTTACCTTAAAATTTTGGACAGAATTTGCAAAAGATGGGAAAGCTTCTAGTATTTCCTAACAACATGAAAAGATAATATATACAAACATAATATAAATCAGAAACAAAAAATTATGTATAACAAAACATAATTAAATAAGAAAATTAATGGAGAGGCAACTGTCTATTAACAGCAATAATTTTAATGGCATAAATATTTTAAGATGTTTTTGTAACTTCCAGTAAGTCAATGGAATTATTTGGCAAATGCCATTTTAATTTGGAATACACCTGTGTGGCAAAACGCAAATAGTTTCTAAACGTGTTTTGAAATAACATTAAACATTTTAGGAGGATTGTGTAAAGCAGAAGCACACAGACTCATAATTTTTTCTCTGAAAATGACCCAGCCTAGTGCGTGTCTCGTGTTCCCACCACAGTGGCAACGGGCCTGCGCTTTTGAGAGCAGCAGGGGATATTTGTTATAACGGAGGAATGGATGGGTGGAAAGAACCCTGAAGACTTACTAGGAAAGAAAGAGAAGCAAATGCATCCATTTTCTGTACTGAAGAGTAAGTGCTAATCACCCACAGGATACAGGTTTTTTAGTGTATTATCAACACATGATAGTTACACTGGTTTTGGGGAAACTTGATTTTCAATTCATGGTTGAAGAAGGCATGGAAATGTCTACTCTGGTAAAAGCATCCATTAAAGTGGTATTCATAAAATTCTTAAATAGAATCATAAAAAAGGAATATAGCAGGGCCGAAGAGGTAGCTCAGTGGCCTAAGTGCCTGGTTAGGCAAGCCCAGGGACCCGGGTTCCGTGTGTCACATCCTGTGCCACATGGGCCCCACCCCCAGGTGCACTAGCCAGCCACGGAGGTGTGGTGGCACATGCCTGTAATCCCAGCGCTGGGGAAGCTGAAAAGAGGAGGAGCACCACAAGTCCAAGCTGTGTCATGAGACCCTGTACTAAATACATTTAAAATTTTTTATTTTTTAAATGTATTTGAAGGGAAATCATATCCCTTCAAAAAACGGGAGCTTGGCTGATATGTTGATATCAATATTTTTAAAAATGGATTAAGAAATTTCCTGTGATCTGGGTATACAAACATTGAATATTTGGGGTGGATAGCACCCATCACCCCGACATATGTGAGCTGTAAGGACCTAAAAGTTCACGGAATGTAGGAAGGGGAGTGCTAAGCCCTACATCAAAAAATATTTAGTTTAAAATCATTAAAAAAACATTCAGCTTTTGTATTATAAGAAAGGAGAGAAGGTTAGCACTCCCCTTGACAAAGATGGAGGAGGCCCTCGGGCCTGACAACAGGTATACAGCTAAAAGCATTCAGCTTTAGATATTTATGCCCTACATTATAAATATCACAAAAGGGTAAATCTTATAACAATATTTGTCTCAAAATTAATTTTTTAGGCAGTATGGAATAAGTTATTTACATCTGGGTTTAGGAAAAGGGTGGAGAAAATGTTTAAAAATCAAAATTTATTTTCTAGATAATTCACTTCTTCAGTATCACTGTTAATTCTTTGGCAAAATAGATTAGCAAGCTTGTGTCAGGAGTGAGTGTGGCTCACTTGCCTAAAGATTTCTGGCATTACATTCCTGCTCATGGGCACGTTCTAAAATGTCTTTGTTTCTTCCATATTTCTGGTCACAGTTCACTTAACTGGTGAAGAGATGAACGTGAGAGGAATTAGAAGGATAAAAAAATCAGAAACAAAGCCAGATATAAATCCATCTGGGTAATTTAAGGGCTTTAGTATGTAAATCGGATTAAACATTGACTTTCTCTGCTGCCCAGGGTGAATCTGGTGTGTTTTCTTATAGTTTCTTATTCACACAGAGCATCCATGTTCACTGACATGAAGACACAGAGAGCTCCAGGGAATCCAAGCTCCTCGCAGCACCCTGCGCTAGACGTTCACACCATCGGCGGTGCAGCCTTAGAGATACTCCTTAGCAGTGCTTGCTTTACCGACTATAGGTGTAGTGCCATGGTGGTCAGTGTTTGGGCCAGAATTCTCTCAAGATACACAAAGTGATTGCTACAGCTACAGTATTTTAAGAAGTGAGGAAAGTTCTCTCAAGCGTCTTACTAATTTCATCTAAGAGATTAAGGAATGGAGGAAAGATCAGCTATCTTTGTTCTGCTTCATTCTTTCCTAAATTACTGATTTATAAATATTAGTGAAATATGTTTTTCTATTTGAAAACTTCAGGTTATGTTTTGCTGACCTTCGCCTGCTTTAGGCAGATTTCTAATTATTTATAACTATATATATATTTTTTTCTTTGTTTTGATGTGGTCTCACTATGTAGTTCAGGCTGGCCTTGAACCCATGGCAATTCTCTTGCCTGTACCTCCTGAGCGCTGGGATTACAGGCGTGTGCCACCGCTCTTGGCTAGAAAATATATTTTTAAAATTTGGGGGTTTTTTTGTTGTCTATTATAACATCAAACTACTTCAAACCCCCCCTTGAGATCTTAGGAATGCAAATAGAAAGTTATAACAATTTTTGAAAATTTTGATTATTATTTTCCCTGTTGTCATTTTGCTTTATAAAACCCAGCACTGAACCTACCATGGTATAATAAAAAAACCACAATGTGATTTCAAAAATATTAATAATTGTCATATCAATTGTTGTTCAAGATGGGGACAAAAGACATTCTGACCCCCTGAGTGAGCTACAAACTGGGACAAGATTTCTACAAAGAAATTTGAAAACTATTTCAAAATGGATTAAAATTATACATGTTCTTTGGCTTAGGAATTCCATGTCTGAGAAAAAATCTTATCAGGTTTTATTGTCCAAAAACCTTATTTACAATAACACAAATATCAGAAATTTCCAACATTGATTGGAAGAATAAATTATTGTACATACACATGATGATCTGCTTAGTTCTTTATACTTTTAGCAGAAAATGATTATAGAATCATGTGGATATTATTGCACTGTTTTGTTCACATATTATGTATCTATATATACATGGAAGAATATTGGAAATTAACAGTATCATATTAAAATTTCCCCCTGTGATAGCTTTTCTCTAGAAGGGTAACTATAGATAACCTTTCTTCTCATATTTTTTCGCCGATGACAATGAATATACATCACTCATCATTTGAAAGCTTTAAGACTAAGTTAGTTTTGTCCAATCAAACCAAACAAGAAGACTCAACATAAAATAAAGTGATGGGTGTAAAATCCCCTCAGTCCTTACTGCGCTACAACGGACTTCCCACCACGGCTGCCTTTCCTCAGTTATACTTTTTAGCACCACGTATTTGTCATTCAGCAACAGTGTTCCCAGTGCCACGAATCTCTTCTTCCAGGAATCACCTCCCCATTTGGTGGTATCCACCCCTTCCTCAGTTAGAGTGCGTTCCAACGTGTGACTCTGAAGACAGTTTCTACAAAGGCTGAACCACCGTCATCAAGCGAGTCATCAGTGACTAAAGAAAATGAGTACTTACATCCTTCTCTGGCTCCTCGGTGCCTGCACTGTGGACATCAGGATAATGTTTCAGAAACTGGGCCACATAGGTCATAATAGACTTCTCATCTGGCTTATCTACATCAACATCTGGAAGAAAAACAAAATGAATATGAACAAAACAACCACCAAAAAAGAAAAAAACATATGAATAAGCTGACTCACATTAGTTGAGTTTAAATAACAGACATTTTGAATCTAGGTATTGTAAAACTCTGTTATCAGTACTCAAGAAAGCTAAAGTTACTATTAAGATTGTTTTGAGGGGGAGAAAGAATTTAGTCTGGAAGAAATTTTTTAAATGCAGGAAGAGGGCACATTTCAACGAAGAGCTTTTGTGAAGGGAGTACATGTTGTTTATAAGTAATGTCTATGTTGCTTCATCAGAAAGTTGAAATTTTATAATCCTCAAATATCTGGTATAGTAATTAAATACAAATAGTATGACAAATTGAGAATTGGGGTGAGGAGGTAGCATACAATACTCATGGGTGTGATACCAATTTTTTCTTTTTAATTTTTATGTATTTGGTACAGGGTCCCACTATGCAGCTTGGACTTGTGGTGATCCTCCTGTCTCAGCCTCCTCAGTTCTGGGATTACAGGTGTGCACCACCAAGCCTGGTCCTGGTGGCCAGCACCGTGCACCCGGGATTAGGGCCAGCACATATACGGTACCAGGGGTCAAGCCCAGATCCTTGAGCCTGTGCCTAGGCTGCTAAGCCATCTCCATGGTCCCTTGCAAATTATTCTTGATGGCCAGACATAGGTAGCCCACATGCCCCCCAAACACTGCTTCAGAAGACTATCTGATTCTGTAGTTTTTTCTCTGTGGGGCATTTTTTTCTGAATTACTGCCCTTTGAAACAGTCAAGTGCTTCTTGAGGAAACACTGCCTGAAATGAATCTCAGTCACTATGGTTTTGAAGCTATAGATATTTACATAATAAAATCAGTATCATAAGTCAGGAAAAGAAATTTTTACAGATTTAGTAGTTCGACAGTATCAAATACTATAAACTAGCATTTAAAGTATTTATTTAAAGGCAATGAAAATTATAACATTTTGCAGAGCATGTGTACAGCCAAAAGCAAACTAAACAAATCCAAGACATCATAATTAAAACATAAAACTATCCTAATGTTTTTTAAAGAATCCTTCTAATTGAGACATTAATGTGGTACTTAAAGAGTGCTGAAATTCACTTCATTTAAAGTAAAACAAAAATGAATGTTTTTGGCATCGTTTGGATGACTTAAATGTGATTTTATTTATTTTCTTATTATTTCTTTATTTGTTTACTTGGTACGGGGGTCTCACTACACAGCTCGGACTCGTAGTGATCCTCCTGTTGCAGCCTCCCCAGCACTGGGATCACAGGCTTGTGCCACCATCACTGACTGGCTGGCTCAGCATGCCCCAGGCGAGGCTGGTGCTTAAATGTGATTTTTGAAGAAAGATAATTAGGCTGGGCCTCTTGTCACATGTCTGTAACTCCAGTACTCAGGAGGCTGAGGCGGGAGGATTGTTATAAGTTCAAGACCAGCATAGGTGGATAGTGAGTTCAAGGCCAGCCTGAACTACATACAGAACAAGACATTGTCTCAAGAAAAAAAAAAAGAAAAGAAAAGAAACAGCAGAATGAAGTGACCATTGATGCTGAAGAAATGTGTGAAGAATGGATATTGCTCTCATGAAATGTGAAAGTTGAAAAAACACATGACTTCAAACACTATATATTCAATATATATGTACATCCGGTATAAAAAATTTGCATAATAGTCATTTCTCTATTTAATCTCTACCTTTGAAAATTTATATATTCGAGTTGGATAAATAACTTTTTAAAAAATGTATTTAGTACAGGGTCTTTTTACACAGATCCGACTAATAGTAATCCTCCTGCTTTCAGCCTTCCAAGCGCTGAGATTACTAAACATATGCGCCACCACGCCCACTCTCAATCGCTGTGTCAGTGTGCGTCGGGGCCAGAGCCTGCACAACTTGTGATGCTGGGAATCGAACCCTAGTCCCTGGGTCCACCTAAGTAGGAACTTCAATCCGCTGAGCTATCTGGCCGGTCCTAGCTAAATACCGTTTGAAAGGGCATTTTTATCTTGAGGCCAGCTCAGTTTCTGACCATCAAAGATCATGGAAGACACTGGATGTGCAAGAGCTTTTCGTGCTCACCTAGGAAAGGCCTCAACACTCTGAGAGTCTCTGAAGCGCACGGCTGTGATTTCTGGGCAGTTTCTCCCTCCGCTTTCTTGTACAGGACCAAAATGGAAGGGCCCTGCCTATGCCAGTGAGCACGGGGAGGGCAAGAAGGGGCCTCTGGGGCAAGGCAGTGCAGAAAGCCTCCCAGCCCAGAGGAAGCCCAGCCTGATTTTGGTAACTTTTCTACAGAAATGTAAAAGCATCTTTTTTGTTTGCAAGCTAGAAGAAGTTCGTTGGGAAATCCCATGTTTAAATAAGTATTTATTTACTGTATACTTGCTTTAATACATGTATTCTTAGAGATTTCTATAATTGCAAAGCAAAATGATAAATTATAACATTTGAAACATTATGTCTGGTATTTTTATTTCTGTGTAACAAAGTAATTCACAAAGGACACCAGAATTGTCTCTCCTAGGCTTGAAAGTGGTAATTCTGCTTCTAGTCTTAAAATTTACAGCCGTACCAGAAATGTGCTGAACAATAAGAATGAAAAATGTTAGTGAATCATTTGGCTTGTTAGGAAGAGAGAAAGCAAAACACTGAAATGCTTACCAACATTTTAAAGATCTTATTTTAGATCACTGATAATCTTCTATTTCTTCCAGATCTTTGGAGGCATAGAGTGATCATTTTACTTGGTCACACTCATCACCCCCCACACACTTCTAAAGCTTTTATTCCAGACTTAAGTGTGCGAAGCCAGACCACCCAGACGACGCACTGATGCTGCATAGCATGTTCACAAGTACACAGGCAAGCATTTATGCAAAAGGAAATTGGTCCCAAAAGATAATATTTTCCCCACTTTCTTTCTTTCATTTTTCATGCAGAGTCTTGCTACGCAGCTAGGACTTATAGTGATCCTCCTGGCTCAGGCTCCCCAGTGCTGGGATTACAGGCATCTGCCACCACGCCTGGTTTCAGGACCTGGACCTACACAACACGCCCAGAGTTCTGGGACTGCAAGGCATGAAGTACCAGGAATCAAACTCAGGTCCTTCCTCTTGCCAGGCAAGCACTTAGGCCACCCAGCTATCTCCCCAGCCCTTCTTCAGTTTTCTCTTCCATTACATGGAGCATTAAAAGTCATACAGTTTCTGAATTCCATTCTTACAGACACACAGCAGGGTGTGTTTGCTCTCTCAGCAATTACTGAACATACCTTCAGGATCCAGCAGCCTTGGGATACCCAATTGTGTTTCTGCAATAGTGAAAGCGTCCTCCAAATTTTCTCTGTTAGATCTGCCTTTCACCCTCTCCAAGTCCACCAGCGTGGGTTGAATGGCGTGGATGACTGAGTGAAAGGCAAGCCCACTCCTCCAGCTTCGTCCGAAGTCTTTCACTTCTATTCCAGTGTGCCTAGTGTGATAGTCACAGGAAATAATGTCACATTCGTGATGGAGGCGATGCTTTCTCCAAGGTCTAATGAAAGCCCCAATGCGCTTCACCAATGGTGCACTATGTTGGTTTACTGGCTTTTCAGGAAAATTAAACAAAATAAAATTTTTCAATAGGATGAAGAGTACATTGAAGATATATAGTTGCAGTTGTCTATGTGAGACTTTTCAGTAATTGAGGTGGTCAATTTAAAGCACATTTTATACTTATTTTTGAAAAGAAAACCCAATCAAGAGGAAACCATGTCAAAATCTTAAAAAGGGAAAACTGCAAAGATGCCAAAAATGATAACAACTAACCAATACACATTTTCGAAGAAATATCTACTAAATTCTAACACTAAGCAGTGCTGTGTCATAGAGCTACATATCACCAACCGAGACATCTAGAGTCAATATAATCATTCATAGAGGATACAAAGGAGCTCATTTTATTTCAAGATTTTCCCTTAGGATTGCCTTAAGAAAAATGCCCTAGTGGTAAATTCTTGTTTTTTAATACATAGTGGACTTGATTAATTTAGAACCAATTCTAAATAAATTAAGTGGTTTAAGCTGGTAATAATATTTCCTTGGCAATAGAAATGAAGCAAGCTCATAATGAGTTTTTTGGGGGTTTTTTTGGTACTGGGGATTGAACTCAGGACCCTGCATTTGCCAGGCAAGCACTTATTCTACTGAGCTACCACCCCCCAGGCCCCAAGTTTTTTCTACTTATAACTTATCAATTCTACAGTAAGTTGCAAAAAGAACTAAAAGATGATGTTTTGAACAATGGCAATTCCCTGTAAATGTAGAATTTACAAATGTGATCACTTATGTAGATAAAATAGCCAGGTAGTTTCTTTTAAAGGTTAGTCTTGATAACTTTGTAGTAATTTCTATACAAAGCAAAATCATCCCTGAATTAGATTTTATAGAGTTTCAAATTTTCCATGAAAATTACAATCTAAATTAGCAAGTGTCCTTAAATGTACCTCAGTGATCTTAGGGGTCACTCTAAAAAAAATGTTTCCTGATGCACATTCAGTTTGCATAAAATATTATGTGCCTAATGGGATACAACTGGACTTAATCACTGGCTTCATAAATATTCTAAAGGCACTTTTATAAGATTCCAAGGTTTTCTCTTCGCTCTTTTGTAGTTTCTGTCTCCGGTGGCGTGGCTGCAAGTGTGTCAAGCAGACATCTGATATCCACGTCAGTCAAGCAGCCTGTCCTTTATATGTCTTTGTCTCCCACCCCTTCGTGCATGGCCTCTTCATCTTATTTTCCTACATGTAATTTTCCTTTGCTCATACTTCCTCTTTTAAAATTGTTTCTGTCTCTCTGAGACTGTTAAAATTAGTTTTTTACAAAACAAGGCATTAATAGATTAACAAGTAGCTAATTAATACCAGGAGAGTAGATATTTTCTGATTTTCTTGAGCTTGTTTGTTGTCTGAGATATTTTCAGAGATGTATAAAAATGTTTCCCAAATAATTGCTAACTTGAAAAAATAGAAAAATTTTCAGATCATTTTTCCTCTATATTTGTGAAACATGTAGGCATATATTTATACATGTA